TTATTTACTCGTTCTCAGTCAGGTCAGAGTTCGAGAAATCACCTCCGAAGGGAAACTTCCCCGTGTCTGCCCCACCAACAGTTGAGGAGTCATTCCTCAGCATCCGAAACACTCCCTTCAGCACCCTCTCTGGGGGTCGGAGGGAGGAGGGCACGTGAGCACTAACACCTCAGTGTGCGGCCGCCAGAGCCAGAGTCCCTGGCTTTAAATCTAGCTCTACCCTTCCACGTGTGTGACTACCTGTGCGCAAGTCATGTCACCTGCCTGACCCTGTTTCCTTATCTGTAAAGTGGGGGCAGAAATAGCCACTACTTCACAAGACAGTTGTGCGGATGAGAGAGGTTAATGCCTAGCAAAGTGCCTGGAACAATGTCCGGCGCATAGTTAGCTTATAAGTGCCTGCTGTGGTTTTCATAGGAGTGTCACTTCTGTGTAGTTGAGTAATCACTCACTTAAAGAGATCCATCCTCTCCCTCATCAGCCTGCGTCCGCTTTTGCTCACTACTATGGGTTCAGCACCAGGCCTGGCCCTGGGTCAACGTCATGTCAAGGGAAGGGGCATGGCCTGCCCCACAGTGACCTGGGGCATCGTGGAGCTGGTAGGTCATGATGGTGGTCAGGCTCCGTGGCTCGTGCTCCAAGAAATCTGCATCGCGGAGGGGTTATAGCGGGCCCACGAGGCCTCCATCTATAGAAACCACCCTCCACGCTACCCACCCCACACACCTCAGACTAAACCCGGTAGGGAGAGGGAGTGTATAAGCAGAATGTTATTTTTGTAACCAAGTAGAAGCAGCTATGAATTTTTGATGTCTCATTGGAACTCCGGCTCCTCCTCACCAGTCAGACTGCGTGAGAAGTGGCCACGTGTGCTGCACTGGTCCCCAGGGGAGGCCTCGTGACTTGTGCTCCCTTTTGCCCAGAGCTCAGGGCCCCCTGAGCCTCCGGTGTCAGTAGATGCCCCTCGTCTTCAGGAAGAGAAAATGGCATGGTTGAGGGTGGGGGGCCTGTCGGCAGGGTTCCCGTTGTGTGTCTGTCAGGCTCGGCAGGGAGTTCTTCCTCCTCACCACCTAGGCCAGGCTAGTGGGTGTTCTCCTCAAGCACCTGCTGGGGCCTCTGCCTGCCTCCAGCCAAGGAGACAGAAGTGCAGGGCAGAGTTACCATTTATTTAAAAATAGATCTTTCCTTGACATTTGTTTAACACTGAATAGCTAATCTGTGCCAGGCACAGTCATAAGTGATTTACTTGCATCGTTTTGTTTAATCTTATTTAAGAGGGGAGCTTATTGTCTCCATTTCATCAACGAGGAACCTGAGGCTCATTGCTTCCCCAAGGTTACCCCACTGGCAGGTAGCCTCAGTGGCAGAGGTGAGATTTGAATCTAGGTCTGTGTGAGCCCCAAGACCGAGCTGTTGTTTCCTGACCAGGGTAGATGAGCAAAAGCGCAGAGATGGGATGCACGTTTGCAGGGTGGGGAGTGCCATGATCTTGTGAGGACATGTGGCTTGAACCCAGTGAGGCAAGGTGTAGTCAGAGCCCCTTTGCAGGCTGGAATAAGAGGGTCTCCTGCAATCTCATTTCCACTCCAAACCATGACTGTGGGATAAGGGTCTTTGCAAAGAGGCTGATCTCGCCCTTCCCAGGCATTGGGTGGGAAGCAGCTGGTGTGAATGTGTGTGCATGTCTGCGCGTGCTCAGTTCATCTGGCATGTTGTGCCAAGCTCTGTGCCAGGTGTTTTAAAGCATCTCTCCCCATTTAACTACAATCACAGGAGGTAGAATCTGGTAAGTCCATCCTATAGAGAAGGAAGCTGGGGTGTAAGTAGGCCAAGTCATTTGGTTGAAAACACAGAACAAGTAAGCCGAGAAGCTGGCATTCAGACGCCCAACCTCTGCCCCTTCAGAGCATTCAGGCGTCACCCAGGCAGGCCGAGGCGGGGAGGGGTGCTGTTCAGACACGTGCCTGGCCCTGCCTGCAGACCAGGTGCCTAGATCCTGGCCCAGCAGCTTCAGAGCCCCAGCAGGGCTAACCCTCTGGGAACTGCCCTCTTGCATCCTCAGTCGTAGGATGTGATGGGCCACTTTGCTGCCCAGCAGCATCTCTCAGGCCACATGCAAGAGCAGAGGCCCAGCATCCCCTCCACATCCTGCCCCAGCCTGGCCTGCTGCCACTCTCTACTTTACAGAATGGCCGAGTTCCACACCTGCTCGCTGCCTGCCACTGAGGCCGCTGGGCTTTGGGCATTCTAAAGGCACGTGAGACATGAGATGTAATTCCTACCCCCTGAGAGCACACGTACATGCATGCAACATCCAGCAAGGCCCACAGTGACTGGAGAATGCTGCCAGATGCCGAGGGCTGTGTGTGGGGGCGATGGTGGGTAGGACGTCAGGAGAGGAGAGGGTCCTGGAGACAGAAACTGCTGTTTACTGAGCATCTGCCGTGGGCTCTTCAGGCGTCGCCTCGAACCCTCCACTGACCGTGACCCAGGTGGTTGGTGTCTCCATCGCCCTGCTTCAAATGAGGAAACAGACGTTAAGAAGGTTGGCTAACTTGCCTGCCCGAGTGGTGTAACCAGCAGTCTAGCCCTCGTTTGTCTGAATTCAGAGCTGTGTGGGGAAGAAGCGTGGGAAGTGAGGTGGGGAAGGTGGATTCGTGTCTCCCTTAACGAGAACCTGCCCTTGGCTGGAGCCCAAAGTAGCTCATGGTTGCAGGGAGGCAGAAGGCAGCACCGAACTGTTAAGAGGGCAGAGAAAATGGAGACAGATCTGCAGAGGAGGGGGCAGCCAAGTCAGAACCGGGCTGGGGCAAGCAAGTCAGTGCGAGTGTCCGGGAGGAGCTGCACTTGGACTGGTTTTGAGGGATGGGTAGGTGCGGGCTGGGACGAGGCAGATGCAGGGCAAAGACACCCTTAGCTGAGCAAACAGCCTCATACTGGGTATCTGTCTCCAAGGTAGAGAAACTCTTCTTCCTGTTGGCAGGAGGCAGAATGAGGGTGCCCTGGCGCACTCACAGGTCCCCCCCACCCCAGATTGGGACTTGGAAGGAAACCTCACACCCGTGGTGCAGCGTGTTAATTAGGCCGCTTCTTTGTCTGGGAGGGGCCTTGTGATGAGTCTCCGAATGAGCAGGACTGGTGACAGTTGTCAGAACACACGGTGCTTGGCCGGAGGCTCCTTGGAAGCCCCTCGTCCCCTCACATGGCCCCTGCCTGCACCCAGGCACGGAGTGGGGTCTTGCGCGTTCCTGGCTGTCTGCCCACATCCACGCTGGGCCTGCAGATGGAGTGGGGCAGGGAGGGGGGCTCCCGTGAGAAACAGACGTGGGGTTTTTCCCAGACCCCGCTGCAGAGGCTGCGTGGGCTGGTCTCCCCAGAAGGCGTCTGGGCACGTCTGAGTTAACTGATGTGACGCACTTCCCTGGCTCTGATGTCTGATAACGTGCCCCAGGCAGCAGGGGGCCGACTGCCGGTACCACCAGGAGGCCCTGTGCCCTGTGCTTGGTGCCCTGTGCTCTAGTTTGGGATTGGGCTTCTTGTCTCTGGGCCTCTCCACCCTTTGAGTTCCAGCATCTGTGTGCCCTGCGATTGTCAGACGTGGTTGCCTAACCCTGGAGCAGGAGGGGGCCTGAGTCCCACTTGCCATCCAGCCCCCTCTGAGATACATTGGATCTTAAGATTTGGAAGAGTGGGGCATGGAATGTTCTCCAGGGAATAGAGGGTGTCTGGCCTCTAGGGAAACAACCTACATGGGAGCATCACAGGTCTCAGAGGATCTGTGCTCCTGGCCTTTGAGGGGAGGTGTTGCCGTTGGGCCGCCCACAGCTCGAAGAGGGACTGACTTGAGGAAACCTTAAGTTTACAGGAGGCTTATTTTCCAAGTGCTTCCTGTCCCGGGTCATCTCTGTGCCAGTGATGGGGAAATTGCTGCACGAGCTCCTCCTACCTGCTCTGCCGCCTAGGGGGATGGAGGGCTGAGGTGTCTAAGAGAACATGTCCACAAGAGGAGAGCAGGGCCCCTGCCACTTGGTTCCAGCTCGGGGGCTGGCTCAGTCAGCCCCTTGGTCTGAGGCGGGTACCCCGGCTCACTCAGGGTGTGGTGGAGCCTGCACTTCCTCCGAGGCTGGCTGACTCAGGTGCCAGTCCACGTTCTGCCTCTCATCACCCCGGGGATCATGAGCCTCAGTTTCCTCGGATCGACCTGCCTGGGTCGCTGTAAAGATCAGAAACAGTGTAGATAAAGGGTGGGGCCCCAAGGTGGCTGTGTTGTCGCAGGGTCAGGGCTGTGACCCAGCCGCTTTGCTCAAGAGCCGAGAGCCACACTGAGCCTCCAGGCCATGCTCTGTTCTGCCTCCCCAGACCTTCACAGCCTGGTGCAACTCCCACCTGCGGAAGGCCGGCACGCAGATTGAGAACATCGACGAGGACTTCCGAGACGGGCTCAAGCTCATGCTCCTCCTGGAGGTCATTTCAGGTGAGGCTCCCCTCCCACCAGGTGTGGCCCACACCTGGTCACAGCAGGTCCTGGGACGCTGCGCTGCCAACCCTTGCTGTCCTGCTGCTGCTGGGGGAGAGCAAGGCCTTTA